GACAAAAACTATCCTATCTTTTAAGTTGGACCAAAATACACAACATGTAAAAAGTTTCAACAAAATCCGTTCAGTAGTTTCGGAGTTTATCGCGAACATACATCGTGACACGAAATTTTTATATATATAAGATATATATTATATATTATAATAACAATAAATTAATTTCACGATTATCTAATTTATTATAAGTCGACGTTAGCAAAGTTTAAATCCCAATTGCACGATATTTCAATTCATGTCAGTACCTATTAAAGTGTGACAGTTTCTCAAAATTTCACTATTCTTGACCATACACGTGGAAATAATTTGATAAAATTCAAAAGTCCGAATTCTTACTATCCTCCTCCAGGCTCTAGATGGTCCTGTTTCTCCAGTTCTCCACTACAACATATCATCGTTGACACGACAAAACTTTACACTAGAAAAACGTTAAAAAAAAAAAATCATATTGTAGTAATTTTATTAACGATTTATAGTTGGTAACGCATAGGAGAATTTTTTAAGATGGAGATAACACATATTAAGATATTTCATCAATGATTTATTGCAGGTAACCCATAGAAGAAATCACTTTTTATTTTTCTGTAGTGATCCAGCCCACAGATCGTGGTGTATAAGACAAGAGATGACAGGGTGTAAATAATTCAAAGTCAATTGTAGAATATTATGAACATAGACTTTATTTTGACATGTAAAACTGATATTTTTAATACACTGAAATTTGTCAGAGAGTCGACTGGCGTGAAGGTGCTCGCACTGACTCTGGTAAATCACGTCTGAATATCGGGTGGATGGGTCCCTGTTTTATAGGCCTACTCTCCACTCTTCCCCTAGCTATGAGATAGCGTTGACCCCGTTTACGATTGCACGTGTGTGGTCGTGGGTTTCCAGGAAACGGTCGCCTCCTATGCGGTTATCGCTGCCGACATATTAGATATATTATCTGACGGATATTTAATTATAATAGAATAATATTATATTTAATATTTATGCCCATAGATATTTATGGTTTTAACTCTTTTTATTTATATTTTCACAACGCTCTTTCGGTGGTCGGATACTCAGAACTACGCACCCTATTTCTTATTGCGTCGTTGTTCTTAAATCCCCGAGGTCGACAACTTCCCAATGTGTCATATTAATGTGTCATATAATTCTCATATTATGTCCCCCTCGCTATCTAGCCTATGCGTTTATGGCGGGACGTCAGTACATAGCATTTCATTAATTCTCAGATGCAAGTAGCACATAGGAGATTTTATCAATAAATAGATTATTTTTTTCTGAATCCAGGGTTACCAAAACCTCAAAATCATAAATTTGGCACATAGGATGTTTTTTGTGCCAACGACTATATATATTGTATATACTCATTACTCGTCTTCTGACCACAAACTTTGAAGCTTGAGTATATGGCTACAGCATAAATAATTATTTGTCGTCATTGCAGTCTGAATTTCTAATTGTTATTCCATATTACTTAGCTATTTTTCTAATGATAATTTAAAAACGTACAAATTCCTGGTAGTCCATAGCGCTAGTTATTTATCACAAGTTAACAGTTAAATTGTATAGTTCATTTCTTAAATGTTTTAAAAAAAATTACTATTACTAAAAGTCAAAGACTTAACATTCAATGATTATACGCTCTAGTTATTGATATTGTTTATTCTTTATTTTATATTATGCATAACCGAGCTTTAAAAAAGTTTAATATAATTATGTTTTTGTACTTTTACATCATATATTTTATTTATCTATTTATTTAATCAGAATAACAATAAACACATACATATTCACATATCACATAACGTGGCATCTTACTTAAATACAAGTTATTAATGTCTACTTACATTTCTATTATTAGGTACTTAATACCCAATCCTTTTGAGTAAAAACTTTTGGTGGGCTTATGGAGTTCACAATTAATTTACAATATTAATATTGATGTTGAAGATAAATAAAATACAGAACTGAGTGAACTGACAAAGAATTAATAATTTTAATATACCTAGACACCTAGTTAGTTGACTGTTGCATGAAATTGAGCATATTTTATATTTTTTAAATTATATATTTAAATTCAAATTTATTTTGTATGATTTTAATATTATTTAACAACAATAGGTAAGTTCAATAAACATTGTTTTTCATAGGTAACGATATACCTAATATATTTATGTAATTGTAATCTAATACCTTTATTAAATATTCCTATTCAAGATAAAGTCAACTAGCCAAATTACAGTTACTTTAGTTTTATTGGGTAAATAACACTCTGAAGTACTTATGTTAAGAAAGCATACATATATTAAATTAGTTTCAACTTACAAATTACTGTAGAAAAAACTGCATGATTTGGTATGGGCATAAGAAGAGTGATGTAGGAGTTTTGGGACACACTATATAGGTATGGTTTATAATATTAAGTACATAAACATTCCAATCAAATTTTTCTAATTAAAGATAATTTATTTCTAGGACTTTTTTTTCCGAGTACCAAAAATATATATAAATAAATGTATAGATAAATTATAATCTCCTTCACAAGACGCTTATAATGTTAGGTTTGTTTTTACTTAAATTATTCTTAGAAACAACATGGGTGTGAAAAAACTTAGTAGGTGCCTTTTATAGGAATTACGGTAAAAAATTCGGGAGTATAAAAGACCTAGGAAAATAGTCCGAGGTATAAAATGTCAGAATTAGATAAATCCTAAGCCTAAAAATTCCGAGGTAAGAAAGCCCGGTACATATTTATAACAATATTCAAAATAATAAATTTAAAAAAAAAATCAATGATAATAATTAGGCACCTACCTATTTACTATCATTACCATCATAAGCATATAATACCTATATTATAATGATTTCTCAGGTTAATTAAGTATTAACTATCTAGTTAATACTAGATTTTTTACTATCTTAACTAAACAAATTCCTACATATGTGTATGTACAACATCATTTAAAATAATGTATTTAACCGATATATTTTCTGAATATTTTTCCGATGTTGGTACCCATACAAGATTATTTATTAATTTCGTCAGGTAAATCATTTAGTTACAATTTATATCAATACTAATTGGAAGTTTGACTGTGCATCACATCATATATTTCCTTTTATCTAACTATTTGTACCAGAAATTTTCACCACGGAATTTTTATGCCTCGGTCATTTCAACCACGGACCTTTTGGTAGTATAACCCTTTTATATAGATCCCACTTGCAAATTAGTCATCCCATTGGTCATTCATAGATTACAATCTGCAATCAATAGTCATTCACATTTCCCTAGAATAAAATCTTCGGATCTATTGTCTATAAATTTGGCTAACATAGTTGTAGTATAGTTACCAATTTTAGTTTATAAGTATTAGGTATTGCATTACATTGTTAAATATTAATAATTACAATTTACGATTGTGTATCATCATCTATTTTTAGAAGATTTAACTGTTTCTAGTTTTCTACTGTTAGCACTGTTGGGGAGCAAAATTATGGACCTTTTCTGTTTTACCAGATACCTTTTTTTTTGTTTTTTTTTTTTTTAAGGCAGGTATGTAATTAAGCATGATGAAAAGAACGTGCTTCTACCGGAAGATAAGACAGATAAGTAAAAACATAATATATATTATATACCTCTCACTTACATAATTGTAACATGAAGAGAACGTTGTATACATTTTTTTACAGTTAATTATCCATTAATATTGCAATATACAAACCTTAAAAAAAAATTATCAAGGAACGCATTATTGATATGCCTGGTCTAGTAAATACTAATATGAAAATAGGGTGACAATTTACTCTCTATAGTTCTTCATTTTTGAGTTAGGAACACCCAAGGCCGTAACTAGAAATTAATTTGGGGGGAGGGCTAAATCTAAAAAAATGTATTCTAATTTTGTTCATGAAGCAATATTGACTGCCTGTGTACCTATCGGTATAGATGTAATGTTTATAGTTATTCAAAATACGCTACAAAAACCAAGCCTGTTATATTTATTTATTTAACGTAAACGTACAATGTATATTGATTATTCTAGATTGAAATAGTTATTTTACTACCACATAATATAACACCAAACAATTTCGGAGAAGGGGGGGGGGGTTGTATTATATTATATAATATAATTTTTATAACGCTTCAGGGTGACCACGACGGCATCGTATTTTTATTTAACAAGGATTACAAGAAGAAACAAATTAAGAATTAAAGAAACAAAAAAAAGGATTTAAAATACCATCCAAATACTTCAAAAATTAAAGCATTAAAAAAGTATTGAATCTTCAGTAGGTACTTTTAATCACTTACTTTAGAACACTGGCAGTGGCATAGATACTGTACAATATATCCTTCTTTGTACGTGTCACAATGTTATATTGATTTGGCGACTATACACGTTATATGAAATGCGCAGAGATTACTTTTTCTGCTTCCAAAATGGTTTTAAAAAAAATAAAAACAGTTTAGTTTATAATAACATTTATCACGTGAAACATAACTGAAATGTCTATAACCCACAGATAAATCTATTTCATCTATAGTTGCTAGACATATCTAAAAAACAAAAAATGTTATACAATTATTGTTTATTTATAAATGTATAATAATGTATTACAGAAGCATTGTGAAATAAAATATTTTAATTTGGCAAACATTATTTTAATTAAACCACAATATCAACAAATTAATATGGTATGCACTATATTATTATATTATACACTACAATTATAAGTCGTAACATATACCTGTGATATTGTAATACATATGTGTACAGTGTGTACTTATGTACGCACTCATTTTTCGTAACATTTTTTCATTAGAAATATAATTGATTACGTAATAATATTTACACTAATAAGGATGAAGATGAGTATTTCGTGTAAAATTGTTGTTATTTTTAATGAGTTGATGTAACTCGATCCATTTCTTAGTTAATTTATCTAGGCGAAAATCGTATTAAATAGTGGGACTTTTAGTATAAATACCAAACACATAGTTTCAATTATCATCAGTGTACTCATCTTTTTTGTGAAGACAAATTTATTTTCAAACATCACGTTTTGTAGAATTGTACATTAGTACCTTCATACTAAAACACATTCAAAATGGCTACAAAGGTAAGATTATATTCTATACTTATTATTTACTAATTTTTAACAAATACAATCATCATTTTTATTTTGATAATATTTTATGTTATTATTTATATAAAATATTTTATTTATGAATCATATAGAATTACATAAAATAATATTCAATAAATACTACAATAAATCAGTCCAACCTAATAATAGTATACTATTATAGGCGGTACCTATTACAATTTACAACAATATTAGTTACTATGTACCATGAAGTAGGTATATTAATTATCCCTTAAATGAACATATTTTTTTACATCATTAGAAAAATGCCATCGGCTTAATTTTCACGTTCTAATAGAATATTTAAATTACATCGGAGATTGAGATTTAGACAGTCGGTGTGTAGGTAGATAGTAGAAACAATTGACTTTACAAACATTTTATTTTATTAAATCACACTGCAGTAATACAAGGGCATATTCCGTATATTATAATATATTGTCAGAGCTCAATAAAAACGCAACGTTTAACTTTCCAGTTGATAATGTTTGCCGCTTTGTTCGGGCACATGGCCTTTGCTTACCCGCCCATTGAGTACAAAAGTTACGATGCTGACCATCACTACGATCACGCACCTCAACCATATCATTTCGAGTACGGTGTGAAAGATCTTCACACGCACGACATCAAGAGCCAGCACGAGGTGAGCGACGGTCACGGTAACGTCAAAGGATCGTACCGTCTCGTGGAACCAGACGGTTCCACCCGCGTGGTCGAGTATACCGCTGACCACGAACACGGTTTCAACGCCGTTGTCAAGAAGATCGAAGCACCCCATTACCATGGCGAGCACTCTGCAGACACCGTGGACGACTACCAGCAACATCACGAGTCACTTCATCCGTTCAAACATTCGTCGCACAACAAGTTTTACTGAAATCAAAAAAGAAAAAAGAAAAGGGCACCGCGATTATGCAGAAAATTGTGTTACCAAACAGCTAGTCAAGCGGTTGATGCTACAGATTATTTGCTATGATATGCACGTCGTGCACATTTTTTTTTATTGAATAAAACATTCGCCATTGCAGTTGTTACTATAGAACACGATGTTGTATTTTTTTTTATCTACTCTTGCTAACCTGCATCAACCAGAGACGGAATTATATTTTATACGGATATACTGATATAGGCACTAAACATATTCCGCCCCTTAATAGGTAAACAAGTTATAATACCCCTTAAAAAATACTCTAAATATTAAATATAATAGGCAACAGTGCCGAAACCATTTGAATTTTATAGACTATCTTTTTCTCACTTTTCGTTATTTAGCCTACATTCGAAGAATTTCAATGAATGCCCATTACATTTTAATGAAAACCTACAATGATAAATTGATAGCTTTTATGAATTATGAACCATCGTTAATAAAACAAACTTAAAACCATTGTTATTGGAATAATAATTAAAACATTAAAATTTACAACATTTTTTATAATACTTTCTTTTTAAGTTATAATAAATATTTTTATATAAGTACCTAACAATTTTTAACTTAATTACCTATTTTAATTTTAGAAGTTGAGATGTTTTAAATTAAATTCTTACTATTTAGTACTTATACCTGGGGCATCTGTAGGTCGACAGTCGATATGTAAAATACATGGAATACACAGTTAGAATAAATTTGAGATTTAGAAAAAATTACATTACTGCAACTGATAAAGTTACAAGAATTCTCCAAGTGTTGGAAATCATCAAGGTTTTAACTATAATTATAACAAGGTTGGGTCTTGGGTATTCTCTTATTTTTATGCTTGATAAAAACATTATTCTTCACGAGAACAGTAACTAAGTTATTGTTAATGTAGGTATCTACTATCTATACCTACCGTTTGTAATTTCTACATTAAATGCTAAGACCTAAATATTATATTCGATAAAATCGACTGAAGAAACTAAATCAGATACATGTGTAGTTTATATGTGTGTGCCTCGTGCCTGTTTAACTGTATAAGTTGTAATACCATTAATTAATGTAAAAAACTGTTATTGAAGTAAACGAAGATTATATGAGTATGCCAGGTAGCGTGGGACAGGTTTATTTTATATGTATAAAATAATGAAACAGACATTTGAATCATACAGCAGTCTTCAAATTTATTTAAACATATTTTATATATAGGCAGGTAAATATATATATTTTTGAATATTTTGAAATTTAAACTTAATACAAGTATATAGACATATAGTATTAGTATATAGGTATACTTAGGTACGTATAATTTAATCAATAATAGTGGCAGAACCATATTTCTGTTCAGTCGACCAAGACATGCTACGTCGTTAAATAAATAAAACGTAGGTACATACACAAATACGCAATGTCCTTCAAGGTATGCACTACAGATGTGATCAGTATTTAAGTCATTGAATTTGAATTTGTAAACGAAGACGAGCTATTACTTCGACTCATTATCATTGAAAACCTAAATCTGTGATCACTCCACACTCCCAACTCCCAAGTGCATATATAAATACCGTAGGTATAAGCAAGCCAATAGATATATAAATCTATAGATTCAGATAAATCTAAAATTGTGGGACACTAGGACTTATAATTAAGTCGATGCTCCAGATGCAGATCAAGAGGCTCTGGTTTACTATATTCAAATATAAATACACATACACAATACACTTAATATGATATTAGTAAGGACGTATACCATGAGATGATTGTATTTATATATGCCTATATATAATGAGTTTAGGAAAAAAAGCAATTGAATAAAAAGCAAGTGAAAAAAGCAAGTGAAAAAAAGCATATGGAAAAAAAAGCGAAAACCAATTATTATATTATTTATAGGTATAAATTATTACAAATAGTTTGTTAAAAAAAAATCAAATAAAAATAATTCATTAATTAAATATATTATGTATATTATAATATTATAATGAGTCATAAGTGTAGGTATTTCATGTTAAGTGCATCAACATGATAGTGCTATCTGAATCTATCTCTAATCTAATTTTTTTAATCAGTGTCCAAATAGAGGGATGATTATAGCTAACGGGTTTAGAAAATCGATGATTAAATCCTTCTGTTTCAATATTAGTACGCTCTGCATTTTTAATAGTTGTTTCGTGTACATTCCACGTAGCAGGTGGGAAGATTGGATGAATATTTTGAAATTTAGTTTTTTTACCTGGCCGTGAAATTCCAATTGGTCTATTTATTCCCGAAATATAAGTTTGATCAAAATAATTCACTAGTATGCTATAGCATAGGTTATAATCCTAAAATTAATACTTTAGTAGTAATTTTTGTTATTATGTACAATTTATGTCTATAATAATAATAATAATTGGTTTTCGCTTTTTTTTCCAATATGCTTTTGCTTTTCTTTCATTCGCTTTTTTTCAATTTGCTTTTTTTTCCATATGCTTTTTTTTCACTTGCTTTTTTTCCCTAACCCCCTATATAATATGTATTATGTACATTATACATATTACATAATATACATTTATGGATGAGTGTACACGAGCATATTATACATTTATATACGGAATAATTATAATAATAATTTATACGAGCGTAATATATTACATTAATTAATAATTATACCACATGTAAAAAATAATCTCATTAATTTGGTCACACTAGAATTATGGGTTCCACGTGAAGAATATTAATTATCCATACACAGTACACACACACAAATGCAAGGGACATCTAGCGCGTAGTGTGTTGCCACGGACCAACTCCTTCATAATATTATAATAGAGTGGAATCCTTCCAGAAGTGCAAATGACTGCTATTTGTTGTGCAGTGGTTTTAAATTATTAAATTTAGGATTTTCAGTATCTACTTTTAAATTAATCTACCAACAGCATATAGCTTATATTCATTATTTAGATTAAAAGTCAAATAGGTCATCCATATAGATATGCTGTTGGAAAGGCTTAAGATATTCCACATTTTATTTATATTACGATTGCATAATATTATAGGAACCTTTTATCAAAAATCCAACGAATGTATAAATAAACCTTAACTACACCTTGAGGATTTTCACACATATTAACCAAACAATGATCGATCATATAGGGTAACTAAGGTGTGTAAAGTAAGGACAGTAAGGTATAGTGTACTTAGAATTTTTTGATATAGACAGTGGCGTAGCTAGACATTTTTTTCTAGGTTGGGCCCGATATTTTGATGTAAGGATTACCAATGAATATTTTTATAAAATAAAAAAGTATCAGAGTACCGTAGGTTATAAATTTTTTATAGGCATATTACATGGATTTATTTTATGTTTTAAAACTAATAGTATAAAATTAAATTAATAAAAAAGATATAGCTCAATTAAAATATTTTTAGATTGAATATTCCAATTTCCTTTTTTTCATTGATTCAAACTCGTCAATTACAGCAGATGGATATTCTATGAATTTTCCACTTATTTCTCTCTCAATAGACAGCAAAGTTAAATTATTTAGTCTGCTACTTGTCATCGTTGACCTTAGATATGTTTTTACTCTTTTCATCGTCGAGCAACTCCTTTCTGCTGAGTGCTGAGGCACTAGATACTGGAACTACCAAAACATTTTCAATAATTTTTGTTAATTCTTCAAATCCAACTTTGTATTTTTTACTTCTTGACATAATTAAAAAATATCAGATGTGTGATGTAGCGATAACCGTGGTCGGTACCATGTGCGGGTTAGCGCAATATGCATATGCATGCGCATGCGATATATACATGCATTGAGCATTCCGTATACTCACCCGACACATGGAACACATTAATAATGCCCATGTCTCCTCGCCCCAACCAAGTACGATCGAACGTTCCACGGAACGATACAAATGTTATACTAGAGGTACTTACGTTGCCTTAACACAGTGGTCCTCTACCTTTTTTGGTTCACAGTACACTATTGCAGGCACAGATCCAGAGCAAAGATCTGTGGGGGGGGGGGGGCAACAATTTTTTTACAACGCAAATACAATTATAATAAATTATTATCCTTTATTCCTAATTTAACAATTTTGTTATAATAGTAGGCATCAATGTGATAAATAAAATAATATTTTTATATTAAATAACAAAGTCTAAACACCTTTTTACATTGTCACTTTTTCCAAATCTGTCAATTATTTGGTCAATGCTTATTTCAACTTCCCTATGAACATTAAGTATAAACATAACGAAGTTAAGCGATCCTTTTGCATTCTAGAGCGTAGCCAGGTTTTTACCCGTCTCAGGGTAGAGAAACTTGTGATTTTAAATATAGTAATATCAGGATCTGTAGAATTATAAAAAAATATGTAGGCCCTAGGCCCCCCTCCTGGATCCGTCCCTGCACTATTGTACATCACAAGTTTTCACGACACATCACTCACGCACTTGACAACCATAGCAACTTCGGCGGAGGCAATAGTTATCGCCACGTGCCTATACATGTTTGACATTTCTTGCTGCATATACGGCATACCTAATCGACCTCGCGGCACATCGGTTGAGAACCACTGGCTTAACGTTTCGATCAACCGATACACACCAATTAGGAAGGGATTACATCAGATCACGGACTATATACGGATCATACGAAATCGACCCATCAACAGTTTTTTCCACAAGAAGAGCCGATGCGCAACATCCACGCCAGTCTACATCACGCCATCACGATACACTTATTAGGTACTGCTATGTACTGACGTCCCGCCATAGACACATATATTTTAAAGGCTTAAATAGCGAGGGGGACCTAATATGAGATTGTTCCAGTGGCGTACACACGGGGAGGGGGGGTTTTGGGTGTTCAAACCCCCCCCCCCCCTTTAGTATTTTTTTCAGTTTACGTAATTACGTAAAAATGTATAATAAACATGATGACAATTTAAGAAAAAAAATTAATAGTATTAATAAAAATAAATACAAAATTAAATTAAGGGAATTTCAGTGTTACCGTCACAATCGAGTTTCGATTAAAAAAGTACGGCGAGAAGACCGTCGTCACCGAAGTTGTTATTTAATAATAATTATTATTAGATATGGGATATTCCAAATTATACTCCATTATATTATAACATTATATTTTAAACTGAAAAATAATTATTTACACGGGACAGATTAAATGGATTGACCATGTTGTAGGTATACCGTGATATAAATTTAACTCCTGAAGAAGTCATTGATGAGTTGGGACAAAAACCTAGGAAAATAGACATTGTTTTTATAATGAAAATAAATATTAGTTAAACAACATATTATTTTGATTTATCAATGTATAATATATATACAGTAGAGCCTCGATAATCCGGACCCCCGATAATCCGGAGAACGCGGTAATCCGGACGGCAAAATTCCATTTGTTGAAAATTAAAAGTATTGTTCAGAAAAAAATTACCGATTACCATACTTAAGTTCTACATACATATTATTATAGACATTTTTTTTTTTTTGTAATTCATTAATTTAGTTTTAATTTAATTATTATTCTTGTAATTTAAAATGCAATAAATATAAAGATGGTGAAATTAAAGTTAAATCTTAGTCATTTGAGTAGATAATTTTGAAAAACCTCCGGTAATCCGGAAAATCGATAATCCGGACGATGCTCGGT